AGGTTTGATGGAGCTACAGCTAGTGCAGAAAGTTCAGAAATCAAGAAAGGAAGGAAGGAAGACCATGATCCTCAACCTCTTAGAGAACAAAAAGTAATAACGAAAGTGAGGGGAAAAATACAATAGAGGAATGAAATGAATTATCAATGAACAAGACTAGAAAATCTCTCCCCTTATGAGCTGCTCCAATTAATGCTATTCAAAGCATTGTAGTAGCCAAATTTCAAGCTCCATTTAACAGAACCTTCTCTGGAGCCACAAAACTACCTTCCTTCAGAAGCAGAGGCTGTGAATTTATGCGTGACTCCTGTTCACACACGGGATCTTAGAGCGCTTGTTGCACTGGTAGCAAAAACCATAACCAGTTATGGGCATGATTTCGTTTCCATCCAAAGTACTTTCTAGTTATGAATGGATGTTTCTAAAAGCACATCTGTGTCCAACAGAATACAGTCACAGAGGAAATCAATGCAAAGCCCTTTTTCCCTCTCAAGGGCGTATGATGTATAAGGATGCTAAACAGTCTCCATAACTCTAGCATGCACAGAAACCCACACAAAGCAGTTCAACTCAAGCTGAATGGCTGTGGATAACAGAACTGCCACTAAAATGCCAGTCCAGAATTTGTTTGCGAAAGCAACTAAAACAAGCATCCGTCAGCAGCAAGATATGCACATGGGGATGACAGACCTGCTGATGGGCTGAGGGGAGAAAGCTATGTCCCAGTCAAAGATGCCAGAGACCTGGACTACAAGACTGATGCAAGGCCTGAGGTCATACGGTGGGACACAGACTAATAAATGAAGTGCTCTGAAGAGCAGCCAGAGGATGACTGTGGGCTTCTTTTTTAGGGGGGCGGGGGAAGGGGAAGGAGGGAGGTGGTTTTGTTTTAACAAATAAATAAATTTTTAAAAAGCAAAAAGCTACTCTACAACACTTAATGTCAAGAAACAAGCTGAGAGGAAAGCCAATTTGATATCAGAACGCACAGAGAAGGGCATGAGTGCTGGCATAAATCCTGAAGGTGAAACACTACAGGAAAACTGAAAAAAAAAAGGATGATTTGGAGATATGTTTTTCTTTTTCTCTCTTTGAAAGTTTACCTACCCAGTGGGTTTCTAAACTTCTTATGTAAATATTTCAGCTATAATAGCTTCAAGCCCAGACTACTAATCATTTACCTTGGAATGTGCATGGCCTTAAGAACTTAAACTTCGCTTCACTATTTTTAATTAATTGTTTTATGGTTTTAAAGAAACCGTTTACTTCCTGCAAACTTGCACTGTATTATGTTCCATGTTCTATGGTATTCAGAAATACACCACAGAAAATCAGCCTCTTTATGTAAATACTGCCAATTTATTCAGCAGTAAGAACTGTAAAAAGCTTCAGCAGCAAATCAAAACTGTTACTTTCAGTAGTGTACCAGTGGACATACTGGAAAACCAGGTAATGAGGCCCCTCAGGGCTTGAGGGGTGAACTATTCACTGGGCAAAAACTGGCTAGGGAGTCAGGCCCAAAGAGTGGTGGTGAATGGAGATAAATCCACTGTGCAGCTGGTCATAAGTGGTGTTTCCCAGGGCTCACAGTACTGGGGCCAGTTCTGTTTAGTATCTTGCTCAGTGATCTGGACAAGGGCATTTAATGCACCAACAGTCAGTCTGCAGATGACATCCAGCTGGGCAGAAGTGTTGGCCTGTTTGAGGACAGGAAAGTTCTACAGAGGGATCTGGACAGGCTGGGTCAATGGGATGAGGCCAACTGTATGATGTTCAGCTGGGCTACGCGCTGGATCCTGCACTTCTCGGTCACAACCACCTCATGCAGCACAAGAGGCTTGAGGAGGAGTAGATGGAAAGCTGCCTGTTGGTAAAGGACCTGGGAAAGTTGGACCTGCTGAATGAGTCAGCCATGTGCCCGCTGACCAGCACATCCTCGTTTGTATTGGTAATAGTATGGCCAGCAGGGCTGGGGCAGTGATCACCCCCCTGTACTTGGCTGCACCTAGAATCCTGTGTTCAATTCTGGGCCCCTCACTACAAGAAAGACATTGAGGTGCTGGAGCTGGTCCAGAGAAGGACAACAAAACAGCTGAATGGTCTGGAGCACAAGTCTGATGGGGAATGGCTGAGGGAACTGGGGGTGTTTACTTTGGCAAAAAGGAGGCTGAAGGGAGCCCTTATCACTCTCCACAAGTACCTAAAAGGAGGCTGTAGTGAGGTAGGGCTAAGTCTCTTCTCCCAGCTGACAAGGACAAGAGCAAACAGCCTCAAGTTGCACCAGGGATGGTTTAGATTGGATATTAGAAAAAACTTAGCCACTGGGAAGGTTGTCAATTATTGGAACAGGCTGCCCAAGGAAGTAGTGGAGTCACCATCCCTGAAGGTATTTAAAAGATGTGTAGATGTGGTGCTTAGGGACATGGTTTAGTGGTGGACTTGGCACTGCTAGACTAACAGTTGAAGCTGATGATCCTAAACAACTTTCCAATTCTATATTTGGCCAACATTGCCTCAAACTCTCAGGAAACAAAAGATAAAGGCAAAAATAAGACAGGGTCCCTTAGTATAATAACCTCCAGAGTGCACTTTCATGCTGTTACGAGCAGATGCATACAAACATAGAAAAGTGAGTTTGGTCACTACTTTCCGCTTCCGCATAGGAAGAAGAGCAATTTCCATACTATCTCTTTCCATGCCTCTTCTTACTCAAATTCTCAATCTGTAGTTCTATCTTTAGTTTAGCAGCAGAAATATGAAACTGCTATTTGTTAGATTTGTGTAACACCTGGCTCATGAGTGGAACATTGACAGTCTCTACCAAGAAAGCACATTCTAGCAAGTTCTTTTGTGTAGACAGTCACTTAGTGCTAGAACAGGAGACTAGAAGTTGAATCAAATCCAGAATACTTTATTTTATCTTAATCAGATAGCTTTTTTTTTTTTCAATCTAGAAATGCAAGGGTTTCTAAACGCAGAATTTTAATACTTTTTTTTAATGTTATTTAATTCTGACATGAAAACTAAACTCAACGGATGTGAAATTAGAGAGGTCAACTCTGTACAACCAGCTGCGTTATGAATTCATCTTGGCCATAAAAACCTTAGAGATCAATTTCAACCAGATTTTAAACCAGGGACTTTCCCCCTCCCCACTCCATAAAGCAATAATGACATGAGAAGAGGTCAGCGCAGCAACTGAACTAAGCAGCTATTTTGCAAACCTATTTGTCCCTTGAGAGCTGCATTTTTTACTGCTGGGCCAGTCATACAGACATCATCAGCAAGTAGTTTCTTGGTATTACAGAGTTACAAAAAGCAGGTGGCATTAATCGGATGGGATCAACCTTCCAAGTAAGAGAACCCCAGTAATATCAGGACAATAAACCTCAGGGAAGCGTGCCGGATGGAACTGCAATTGTGTATTATTTAGAAGACACTTACAGAAAAGCAGGGACAAAACACATATGAGCAAACATTGATAAAAGAAACTTTGATGCAACAACCTCACAAGAACTTAAAAATGTTCACAACCATTTGGATGAGTATATAAGGTATTCAGGACCTAGTGACCAGTACAGACTCTGAATGCTCATCTCTGCCTATAGATGGGATCCTGCACTGCCTGCTCTCTTTCTCAGGGCTGCTAAAAGTAGATATCATATTTCGGGATCCTGGACTGCATGGACCAAAAAACCAGTTCAGTTAGTCACACATTACTTTCCAAAAAAAACCCCAGTACTCACTAAGTGACCCGTGAACCTCATCCTGACCCCAGTATGGCTCTCATCTGCAAGGGTGGAATCTGGCCATATACGCTCCAATTCATTCAGCACAGACCACCTTCCTAACAGCCGCTAACTTTGTTTGCACTCAGCACTAGCTTTTCCACACTCTCACATACAGAGAGCTATTTAGTAATGATTATTTATGCAGCCTTCCATACTAACTTTTTATAAGCCACATTCTCCTGCAACCGACTTTGACATAAACCCAGAGTAACTACCGCAGCCAAGGAACTCTGTTTTCACGTCAACCCAGCTAACGAGCGAATATTATGCTAAGTAAATTTTCCCCCAGGAAAAAAAGCAAAAAGAGTGAGAAAACACACCCCAAAAGAAACCCAAACCTCAGGCCCAAAGCCGCGGCCTCCAGGAGCGGTGGCTCTCGGAGACGGGTACCCCGCCAGGCCTGCACCACCACCGCCTGAAGGACACAGGAGCCCGCGAGGGGGGCGCTGGCGATACCGCTTTACAACCCCACACCCCGTGCTTCTGCCCGGGGTGGTGGTGTGCGCTGACAAAGGCAGCCCCGGCCCCCCGCACGTTTCCTCTCTCTTGCCAAGCCTGTCTTCCTCTGCCGGTGTCCTCAGGCTAGGCCCGGAGGGACCACCCCCACCCTGGACACCGCCGGCAGCCACCCCCTTTCTCCTCGGCATCCTGTTTTTCTTCTCTTTTTGGTCCTTTCCCCCTCTTTTTTTCTCTTTTACCTGATACAATCGCTCCCCCCCCCCCCCCCCGCCCCCCGAAAGCTGTCCAAACCCAGGACCACACACAGACACCCGCCCCTCCACGCCGTTCTCCTCATCGACCGCCCCCTCCCCTTCGCCGCGGGCACACGCACTCCCAAAATGGCGGAGGGGCGCCTCCGGCAGCGCGCCCGCCTCTCACCGCCCACGGGGACGCTGAGACCGCCGGCCAGCGCCCGCCCGCGCGGAGAAACGGGACAGAGGCGGGGGGCGGCCTGCCCTGCCTTCCCCTCCGCGTAACACACGGGCTGCCGCCGAGGTCTCTCCCCCTCCGGGGGCGGAGAAGTGGTACGCGCCGCCCGGAGCCGCGCGTCGCGGCGCAAAGCCCGCCGCAGTCCGGCCCCGCCGGCGGCAGCCCCTCCCAGCCCTTGGTTCACGGAGCACGCGGCCCCCGCCGCTCCAGGCGAGCGGACCCGGCCGGGCGTGCGGGGAGGGACGGGGAGGAGGCGGCCGCGGGAAGAGGGGCACTTACCTTCCACCCACAGCTCTTCCACGTTGGTCTCGAGATTAGCTGCCCTTAATCCTACAGCGAAAGCCCCAAAAATCAGGAGGCCAACAACCAAGAACTTCCCGCAGTTTTTCTGAATGTAACAGCCCAGTTTAAACAACAGTCTCTGAAACTTTGCTCGCAGCCACAGCGGCGCTTTCCGTCCTGTCGCCTTCCCCTGCAAGGCAAGAAGAGGTCAGTAGTAGAGGGGCTGAGAGGGGAGAGCCCCCAGTATCCCACAGCACCCCTGGGACCTAGTACGGAGCGGTCCAGCCGCAGGCGCAGGCCGAGGTGTACCTGCGGGCAGCCGTCCTGGCCCCAGCGCCGCGCTCGGGGCGCGGCGGCGCCCCCGCATCACGTCCCGGCAGCCGCCACCTGCGCTGCCCACCGTGCTCCCCTCTCCCCAGGGCACTGGCCGCGGCGCAGCATCCCGCTGGCGTGAGCCGCGGGTCCAGCGCAGGAGCAACCGTTTCCGATAAAACGCAACAGCCACAAAAGAAAAAAGGAAGATAAAAGCCTTCTCCTTAGAGCTCTGAAGGGCGGGGTGGGGAGGGAGACGGGGCGGCCGATGGTGACGGAAAGCTAGCCGGTAGCAGTTTGCTGCCGTTCCCCCATTCCCGGCTCCTAGCAAGGGTTTGATGCTGAGACAGGACCCACGTGGTGAGCAGCACTGTAAGATCAGAAGTAATTCATTTCCATAGAGTTTGGAGACGCTGTGTGATCTGAATTAGGAAGTAGAGCAGCCATCTGTAAGTTACGACAATATTTGTGAACGGAAGAGGGCAGCCACATGGATTTTTTTTTTCCTTTTTTTTTTTTTTCTTCCCCTCTCTCCTCCTCCTTTCCCCTTTCTTACAAAGCCTAGAAATCCGCTCCCTGAAGTTAGACCATCCCCGCAGCAAGGCAGCTTTTCTAGCTTGTTTACTTTGAACATTTTTTGCCAGGGGAGGTCGGCGGCGGGGGCCGTACCTCCGCCTCACCAGGGCCGGTCCGGGCTCCCGGGGCGCTCCGGCACCTCCAGCCCTCCGCGGGAACCGGTGCGACCGGAGTTAGTTACGGTGGCAGTTTGTTTACGGCCCTCGCTCCGTCTCCGAGCGCCGGGGGATGGAAACCGCTGCGAGCTTTCACTGCTGAGGGGAGCCCCTCTCCGAGGAAAGTCGCCGGGTCGGCGGAGGGGAACTTCACAAAAGCACAACTTCTGCCAAGAAAGCGGCAGCCCGCCCGCTTTCTCCCCCGTCCCGGCCGGGAGCCGGTGTTGCCGAGGTCGCAGAACTCTACCAGAGGATGCAGAGGAAGCGGAGGGGGAGAGGGAGAGTGGGGCCAGGGGCTAGCCGAGGGGAGGCAGGGAGAGAGCCGGGGTTAGCCAGGGAAATTTAACCAGAAGAGTGCTCCGCAGCACAGGCACGCAGCTGGGCAGGCACAGGCAACCAAGGAAGGAAGGAGGGCACTCTCTCCCGCACTGAAGAGTCACAGACGTCCCTCTCTTTTTTTCCCAGCATTTTATTGGTGGCCGTTTCATTTCCATCTCCTCCTTCCACCCCCGCGAGAAAACACACCACCCCCCTCCTCCCCCGCCGAAAAGCAGCTCTAGCGCTAGCTTGTATCTCTGGAAAAAAGAGTGAGAGATTGAATGCACCTTTGAGATCTGCTCCAAGGCGAAAGCCGCATCGCAGTAGCTCGGCCGCTGCAGATACTCCCGGTCGGGCGCCGGGGCTCGCCGATTCCCTCCGGTCCTTCGCCGCCACCCGCCGCCGCTCCTCGCCGCCCGGCCGGGGTGGCCGCCGCCGCCCGCGCTGCTGCTGATCTCCGGCTCCGAAGCGTTACCGGCCGAAGCCATGTTGCCGCCGGCGGGGGGACGGGGGAGCTGCCGCTGGCGCTGCCACGGCGGGCCCCGGGGCCCCGGGGGCGCGGCGGGGCCGCGGGGGGCTGGCGGCGCTACGGGCCGCGGACTGCTGCTGCTGGGGCTGCTGCGGGAGCTGCCGCCGCCGCCGCCGCTGCTGGGGCTGCTGCTGCTGGGGCTGCTGCGGCGCGGCCGCCTCACGCGGGGCGCGGGGCGGCGGCTGCCGCCGCGGCAGCTCCGGCCGAGTCGCTCCCCGCGGCTCCCATTGCCACATCGCGCGCGGACCCCGAGCTGCAGGCGGCCGCTCCCCGCGCCCGGCGAGGGCGGGCGGGCGGGCGGGCGCGACCCCCGGCGCCCCCCGGCTGCCGCCGCCGCGCTTTCCTCCGCTCCCGTTGAAATCGCCTCCTCCGGCCGCCGCTGCCTCCGGGAAGCCGCTGTCCGCGGCGGCTCTCAGCGGCGGGGCGGCGGCGCGGCGGGCCGCGACTGCTGCTGCTGCTGCTGCGATGCCTCGCCGCGCTGCACCATCCTGCCTCAGCGCCGGGGTGCTTCCCGCGGGCCGCGGGGCCGGTGGGGCTCCACGGTCGGCCCCGCCGCCGCGGAGGGCAGTCGGCTGCCTGGCGCTCTCCCCCGGTGTGTGCGCGGCAGCACCGAGATGCAGCCCCTCGGTTCAAGAGATGAGATGAAGAAGAAAAAAAGGACTCTCTCCATTTGGATAAAGAGGAGGAGGGGTGGAGGGGGGGGGGGGGGGGGGTGTATGAGAGGAGAGAGAGCGAGAGAGAGGGAGGAAAAAAAAAAAAAAAAAAAAAAGCGCTGAAAGCCCGCCCCCGGGGCTGTCAGATGGCTTGGGTTTCTGCGAGGCGATTGGCTCGGGGAGGGCAGAAATTACTCAGCAAACATGACTATTATTAGCTGCTTAGCAACAGCTCACCAAAGTAGAGAGACCACCCAGGCCGGCAACCCTTGTGTGTGCATCTCCAGCTTCAGGGGGAGCCTTAAAGAGATCCAGCCTTCCTTGCATGCAATACTTCCATTAAGGAATGCCTTCCCCCCTTTCTTCTCTCGTTTTCTTTTCAAGAAAGTTTTCTCCCCTCTCTCTCTCTTCTTTTTTTCTCTCTCTCTTTTTTTTTTTTCCTTTTTTTTTCCTCTCGGGATGCTTGCAGACAAATACAAGCGCAGAACTTTCTCCCTATCGGCGTACAGAAATATATTTTCCCCTTTTGAAAAAGAGAGGGAAACTGGAGGAAAGCAGCATTAAACGCTTTCTAAAGCCCTTAAAAGAAAATCCTTTTAGAGGCACCTTGGCCTCAAGCTGCAACAAATACTGGGAGGTCCGAGCTGAATTCCCAGGCTTGCAGAAATAATGACAGGGTGGTAGATACTGCGGTAGAAAGTGCCAGATTTTTCTCCCTCTCTCTTTCTTTTTTAACTGAAGAGGAGTCTTAGTTCCTTGTAAGAAAACCACTCCGTCCAGTTAGAAAAGCACAATGAAAACTTAACACTTAAGGGATTTAAACCCGCTCAGTAGCTAGCCTGTTTCAACTTAGGACTCATTCTTTAACTGAAACCTGAGGAAAGCCAATTTTAATATGTTTTTAGTGTAAAAGTCCATGAAACGCAGCCTGGCTGGCCGCGCTAAACACTTCTTGAACTATACGCGATTGTTTACTTTTTTGGCACCGCTTCTCCCCGTCTCTGTTCATTGAGAATCAGCCTTTAATTGCTGCCGTTACAGCTGCGCGCAGTGTCCCGAGCCCCGGGGCTGCGAGCCCCGACCCCCAGCGAGGCTCCCCTCGGAGGCTCTGAGTCCCAGCGGACCTCTGTGCGCACCGGTGCGGAAGGCAGCAGTTAACCCGCCCCGCGCCCGGTCCGGGGGGCGCTTGCTATGGGAGGCTGCCTGCCATGCCTTCCCTTGGCTTGGTGTGGGGGGAGAAAGAGAAAAAGAGGGGAGTGTGGGGACCCGAGGTGCAGGCGCAGCGAGGCAGCTCCCCTCCCCGGTGCCGCGCACCTTTCCCTTCAGTCCCGCCAAGCGTGCCCGGGGCAGCTGTCGTGAGCTAAACCTCCGAGCCCCTGCGCGCTGCCCGCGCCATCCTCCTTGCGGCGGGGCTAGCAGGGCTGGCAGGCACAGAGCCCCAGGGCCGCCGGCGGCAGCGGGCTGCGCCCCCACAGCACCGGATATGCGGAGGGCCCCTCCGTGCCACTGCCTATAGGTACCCACGGGCAGGGGTTTTCCTGAGTGACAGCCGCCGGTGAGGGGGTCCCTCTTCCTGTCCGTCCCACCTCCGTTTTTCCCACGCTGGGGGAGACCTGCCTCCGGGAGGGCCCGGCCCTGTGCTCTGCACAGGATTGTCTCCAGGAAAGCTGCTGGAAACAGCTAGCTGTCAGAGCAAGCACACCTAGGTGCATACATGCGGGAGAAAGAAACCTAAAGAAGTTGGACGGGGAAACCGGTTTCTGTTGGAGGCTGAAACCCACACCTGGGATGCAGTAGGTCACCTCCAATTCAAATTTCCACTTGCGAGGATGACCATCTATCTCACTAGGAACAACTGTGCCACTGCTTCTGCTCAGCTTCACTGGGTCTGGTGGAGTGGCATATCTAGGGGACAGAGAAAGAAGGCATAGATGAAGAGGTATTTTGGTTCCTCAGCCTCCCAGCAGGCTCCAAAACCAGGGAGGAGTGTCCCTTCAAGCACCTCGAGCCCCCAGAGACGCCCTGGCTGCCTCCTGCTTGCTAGGTATCACACAACAGCCCAGCACCCGTCTTTGCTCCTGGTTCCAAAACCCAGCCTGAAGACTCAAATTTAACAAGCGCTATCTTAATCTCCCTTCTCTCCCTGTGGTCTGGAGAGATTTTTTCTTTTTCTTTTTAAGCATACACAAGAGATTAATTACTGCAGGGATCTAATTGGCCTTGTTTCTGTATTATTTTTTTTTTTTTCCCTTAAGAAGTGTCAGTGTAAAAGTCTCCACTTGGGTGGTCAGAGCAGTGGCTGCCCCCAGTTTGCCTCATAGCTGATGCCTGCTCGCTACATTCCTGACGATAATGTTGTTCCTAATCAATCTGCCCTTATTTACATTTGTAAGCGCTGCTGGCTGTGATATGCATGCCCTGTGTGTGCAACTGTTCCTCCTCACCAACGGCTTTTTCCGTCCTCAGCAACTCGCAGGGATCGCACAGGTTTCTAATCTCGGTCTTGCACTGTATTGGAGGCCTGGGAAGCAACCTTTTATATCTGGTCCTCCCAATTCCTGGACAGGCAGGACTGGCGTACAAGCATCTCAGCTTTGACTTTGGCCATAGTGGGCTCATTTTGTAATGTTCTGCCTCTTAGATCCTCTTTGTGCTCATAATCTCAAATACTGCAAAGCTTCACACTTCCTTCAGCCAGGTGAGGGGTCAAATTCAATAGAAGTCAACAGTGGGTAACAGGTATATGCACTGATTTCACTTTTTTCCAGGTTGCTTGTGGGCACACCACCAAGACCACTACACAGCTGGAGCATCTGATTACCTTAATAAAGAAACGGCACTGAGATTAAGTGCTTTGGCTTCATTTTTTAGGTGCTACAGGACAGCTGACCGTGGCAGAAGAAGGACTTGTGGTAAAATACCCTGGTTTTGTCTGTCCCCTCAAGTTTTTGGCTATTATACACGTTTTCATCGCACAAGAGCACAGGTCTGCCCCAGCCCTGAGCTCCCCACTCACGCCTGGCCCTGGCTTTGACATCAGATAAGGTCACGGGGCAACACCTTTGCTGGGTTCTGCAGGGCAGTCTCAGCGTCCCCGTTTCCACTGGCAGTGCCCCTCTTGCCACCGGCCACCGGAGGCCGCAGTCCGGGGTGTAAGGGTGGGGGGCGGCCGGCACTGGGAAACCGCTCCGCAGGGCAGCGCCGCGCCCAGGGAAGGAGGCGGCTGCACTAAGCGAGCCCTCTCCCCCTCCGCAGTCCTGCGAGAAAGGGAGCTGCTCGAGCCAACTTGTCAAAATAATGCGGCTAATTACCCCTGATCTCCTTTAATGGAAAGCTGCTCTGCACGCCACAAAGGAGCAAATGAGGGATCTACAACACCAACCCAGCAGCGCTGGCATTTTCTTCCGCGGAGGGCTGCGGGGAAATGTGCCTCCGGAGGAGCCTCCGAGGTCCCTGCGCTCCTCCCGCCCGACAGCGGACACCCAGGGGAGGAGCAGAGGGCTGGGGAGCTGCGCAGGGCAGCGGAGGGAGCGACAGCCCTGTCCCTCCAACAGCTGGAGGACACCCCAGCCCCAGCAGACTTTGTCATATTCTACGAGGAATTAGCTCTATAAACCCAAGTCGTCTTCAAGACAGATTCTTTTCCTGGCAAAATGCCCTGCAACTTGCAGGACATTAATGTGCACAGAGAGGGGAAAGTTACACTGAACCGTTTTTAGCTGGCCCGGACAACACCGGGTCTGTGTAAAGGTATAGCTCAAGTCTTGCATTTGGCAGAAGGCAGGTCATTCATTTTCATGATCTCTGCCATCGGGTCTTAGCAGAAAAGAAAAAAAAACTGAGCTACACAATCTCTTTGACCCACTGCTGGAGCAACAAATTTATTAGAGATATAGGCGTGAGAAATGAAAAGGAAGTAAAACAATTCAGGCTCATTGTATGTCTTTCTTTCATACTGCTAATCCGGTTTACACATCACGCCTACATGTCTCAATAGGGCTTTATACACTGTGGCAAAGGCAGAACAAAATAAAAGGTGTGTGAGTGCGTGTGTGTGTGTGTGCATGTGTGTGTAAAATAAGGATAAAAACAGAGAAGCCCAAGATGTTTTAATACACGGTGGGCTCCCAGTTTTATATCTACCATCTCTCAAAAGCAAATAGATTTTAAAGGATACCCTCTCCTGCTCCTCCCTCCTCAGCCCTAACATTTCCTAACAATACTACCTCCTGTCCAGATACAGTGTCGGATTATAATCCAGACACACAATGACCTTAATAGCCCTAACCAGAAATTAGATACACCTATCAGACCGGTGACAAAATGGTGTGGGACCCTCTAACCACAACTGGCAAATGCTCCCTGGTTAGAAGATGCCAGGTACCCACCTTGCCTCCAGCATTTGTTTTAAAACCATCCGATGACACCAGATGTCTCTCCCATTCCCTTCCCTGCTTTTGTCCCCAGAGGTCAACCTCCCATACTGGGGGTAAAGCAGAGAACATCCTCCGGCCTCTAGCCCATGGACAGACCACTGAACATCCTCTAGGCTCCATCCCGCCCCTAGGAGCAGCGGGACAATACGCACAGGACCGATGACAGCAGTGCTGTACCGGTCCCGATGGCGCCGGGTATTAACTACATTTAGAGTCCGATACTTGAGCCGGGGGCTGAAACCACGGTTCAACCTCACCCAAGGCACACCACGCGTTTCTGTAGTAAGGGAGAGTGTGTCCCTCCTTTTCCGTACAGATGTGTT